AAGATACAATTCACGTCGGCATTTTGACACCAAACACGGAGCTAAATTTAGCCTCCAAGAAAAACATCAAATTGTCCAAGAATTAAAAGGCGGACTGCAATCACAGCAGAATATATTTACAGAAGCTACAGCCCAGTGCATGCTAAAGGTATGTGAGCAGGTGTGCTCCGACCAGATACAGACTTTTACAAATGTCAGTTTGTGAAGAAACACCATCGCAGACCGAGTTCAGGAACTAGCAGCAATCTAACAACACAGCTGGCTAAGAGACGAGATACATCATCTATCAATGTTTGTAAGAGGCTCAAGGCAGACCTGACTCTCAGTGAGGAGCTCTTGGATGTAGCTGCCATGCACGGGACGACGGCAGGGCGGGACGTTAGTGATGCAGAGAGGTGACAAAAATAGCTTTGAACAAAGATAATGTCATAACTTGTGTTTAATGATATTTGTCTTTGTTATTTTCTTTAAAAGTTTGATCTTTGACAGAGTAATGTGGGTTTCTTAACCCTAAATTAAAATGATTTATGTTATAATAACAGAAATGTGCTTAAATATATTTTTACATTTATATAACTGCATGTACAATATTTTTACACTTGAATAAACAATAATCAAAAGCAGAGACAGTTATTTAACAATATGTTAGGAGTAGTTACAGTTATACAGTCTTACAGTTACAACCGGCCCTTTGAGGGAAACCATGATGCTGATGTGGCCCGGAGTGAAAATGAGTTTGACACCCCTGCTATAGAGGCAGGAGTGTATAGGGTGGCCGGCGGAGGCCTGGTTTATGGTCTTCAGCACTTTATGGGGGTGGGGAGTGTGCTCGGGGCAAAGTAATTTCAAAGGGGGGGTTTGGTTTGTTGGGTAACAGGGGGGTCTGGGGCACGCCAGGCATTACATGCCGTCTAAAATTAGCAGCAGCTGTCTTCGACCTACTGGACATTCTGGCGTTTGTGTGTGTGTGTGTGTGTGTGTGTAAGGGAGTGGCATTAGGGTTCATAAAGTCTTGAGACCAGAATGCAGCTCTCGTGGGCATTTGAGCTGAATTTTATAGTAAACATTGCCGAGTGACCGGACACAGAAACACTGTAGAGGGCAGACAGACTGACATGCAGCAAAGGTAGTTTTAGCAGACGCAGATATGAATCGAACTCACTATTATCCTCCTAATGACGGATACGCAAGCTTGTGTGCATGCTTGCATGTACAAATGAAAACTATCCAGTCAGTATATGGACACGTGATAAGAGTTCAATTTTATCACATCTACTGAGGTTGTTTTTGTTTTTTGCCAGACAGACATGACTGGTATGAATGATTGGCTCCTCTGTTTCCTGTTTATTGTTTAAAGAACGAGGCCTTTTCAAATCTTGGGGGCATTGTACCACAATGATGCTTGAAAGTGTGAGTGTCAGTCCTCTTAACAAAGAGTACTGTTGCACCATTTGTTAGGGCTGACAACATTCAACAAAATGGAACCCACAAAAACAAGAGGTTATGTTTAGAAATGAACATCAGATCGTTTCTGGTGAAGAAGAAGAGTGAAAGTTCACCATGCTGAACTCCTGTTTACAGGAACTGTAATTAGATAGTGTGATGAGGTTTGACCCCCCCCTCTCCACTGCCAAAATATTTAACCTTGTGGGATGGGAGGTTACTCAATTCTGTGTAGTCCATGTGACTTTTCATTGGCTTCTGAAGCTAAAAAAAAACATGACAGTAAAAATCTCCAATGGGGCTTAGCCGTTTTAAATATTAAACACGGAATTCTATGTTAGTGTCCAAATTTTGGGATTGTGTCAGCGGTAGTGGGGAAAAGTGATGTCCGCTGTATAATAGCTAAGCAGCGGGCCAAGTGGGGCCAAACACGCAGTGAGTCAAGAGTGTGGGAAGTCATGAGTGTTTGGCCAGGAATGTCAACATATTTTCCAGAGGAGGAGGATGTGTTTCTCTGGGATGAAATACAGTGAACAGAGCACGACTCAGGGTCTCTCTCCTGCCTATTCAGCTGTAAGGCTTTCATCTTTCAATTAACTCGGCAGTTTCAGTTTTTTTTTTAATCCTCTTCTCGCAGACAGTGAGACACTTTTTCAGAGGAACTCTATGACCCCATGGGAGCTGAAGAGTCCTCCACAGTTTAACTCTTGGCACTGGAACCTAACTTAAGTCAATATTCCTGTTCATCAATTTGTACAAGTGCAGAAAAACTAAAGAAGCACTATATTAGAAATCCAATTTTTTACAGATAATGTGAAGACATTGTTCACTTTTGTGTATACAATATGACCATTACTAAAACTGGCGGAGTTTGCAGTAGTTGATCAGACTTCCTCGGTATCGTCATTGCCAGATTCCATATCTGTAACATCTGGATCTCTTGGAAATCTCTGAGTATATTTCAGGAGGGAATTCCAAACTTTGACGAACAACAGCACTTAACAAGCAATAAAGTACTGTATGAGTAAGCGGGGCCTTAATCTCTGACTCTACATTCTGAGATATGTTTAATTTATGCCAAGCATAACTGTATTACAGTTTTCACAGAAGCAATAATTGTCTTCTCCATGTGAGATAAAGTGTAAATTGGACTACATTGCTGAAAAGGTATGCTACAGCGCATCCTACAGAAGCTGTACTGTATGTTTGCTTGGATGTATTTGGTTGGTTTCCGCAGAGTGTTGCAAGATTATGTTGCATTGCGCTCCATAGAGCCTGTGTCAGCTTTTTTTTCTTTTACCTCCTTTTGTTTTGTGTTTTTTCCACATCCCTCTGCAGTGGCCACCCCCGCTGCTTTGCCTCATGTAATGAATGAAGAGTCTGTATTGTCTGCCGCAGAGCTATTGTCAACTTAAAGGTCCTTCAGGGCTGTTTAGTAACCACCAATATCAACTATTTGTACTATGCAATACTGTGTTTTAAGCAGGGATTGCCCATTCTACAAAACTTGCCTCCAGTACTCATTGATTTTGAGAATATATTCGTACACTATCCATGTGTACATATTTGCTTTTTTGTTTCTGTGGGTGTGTATTTGCGTGTGTGTGTGTGTGTGTGTGTGTGTGTTTTGCCCATTCCTCGACCACATCTCCTTACAATCCTTGACATCTGGGGACCATCCATACCTCTGCTCGGGCTCTTTGACTGTACTTCACAAGCCATGGGAACCACTGCTGCGGTGTGTGTGTGTGTGTGTGTGTGGGTGGGGGTGTACATATGTGGGTGTATATGTGTGTGTGTACAACAGAGAAAGAGAGAGATGACCTCAGGTTTTGAACAGATGTTTTCACAGCCTGTGTGCAGCTTCGTGATGTGTTCTTCCAACTGGTCTATTTTTCTCCAACATGTTTTCTTTTTTTTTAGGAAAGATTAGACCTGTCTGACCTCTTCTACTCCACCACTCTTTGCTGGAGACCCTTTTTTTATCTTCTTTTTGGTGGGGCAGGGGATCTTTAGGGGGTCAGCAGTATATACCACATGTACTATTGATGATGGAGTACATCATCTGAAAACTGCAGCCTGAAGATAAATTTGAGATGCAGCTGTCAAGCTTTTCTAGTCATAAACTGTCATAAACACTGTGTTTCGTTTAGGCGCCTATTCAAATGTTGAAAGTTTAGATTGTTAAAGGGCTTAGAACATTATGATGGAATTATATGGCGGCCATTCTGATACTGAATTATGTCTCATAGTTTGTGCATTCTTTGGGTTGCTACCAATTATTACACAGATTTGGTGCAAAGAAGTAATGACCCCTCAATAATTGATAGAAATCGAGGAACACCATAAATAGCGGTTCCCCGTACATTAGGGATTACGTTGCACAATGTCATGTGCTTGTTTGTTTGTTTTCTGATCAATCAATATCTACTCTGTTCTTTTTTATGTTTCCACTACGACATTCTGCTTAGCTCTGTCCTTTCTGCTTTGCGATCCTATACTCAGTTTTTTTTCCACTCAGTTTCACTCTCGTTTGAGAGGTGGTCTAACGTTTATACACATTTTGGGGTTTTCTCTCATGGCTATATTTAGCCAACAGGAAATGTCCCAGAAATCCTCGTTCTGCTCCCCCTGAGTGTGTGAGAGAGAGAGAGAGAGAGAGAGAGAGAGAGAGAGAGAGAGAGAGAGAGAGACATCTACAGTATCTCATGCCCTTCAGCCCCAAACAGGACTGTCCTGGGATCTGCTTTGTTTGTATTCCCATGCATTTTCATCACAGCGTATTCAAAGATAGTGACTCCACATTGCCTCTGTCTGTTGAGGATTTTTTTCAGTTTCAAACCTCCCACTCAGCCTGCTCCCTGCCCGGCCTCCAAACATCAGCCTCATTCATCTCCACATGAAGTAAAGGATTGTTCGCCCCACCCCAAGTTCAATCTCAACGCCATTTAGAAGCTTCAAGGCCTAATCCCTGCCCATTTGGATAGCCTGTCCCCCTCACCTCTCTCAGTCCTCCATAAGCCCAGACCTCTGACCCCTCTAATGCTTCACTTCTTTTCAGCGTACGCCCCTGGATCGTTTTCCTCCAATGAGATAATTTTTGTTAATGATCTACCCTTTCAGAAACATATTCTTGAATTGGAATCCCAGCTTCAGTTTATAAATGTTAATGTCTAGTTTGCTCTGCTGTTGAAACCATTGAAAACACTGGGAAGTCGCTTCACCCACCCAGTAGACTAAACAAGACTGCATCAGTTTAAATTGAGTCGAACGGAACATACTGTGTGAGAGGCCATTAAGTCTCTGCTCACCTTTAAATTGAACGGATGAAAACCTTAATTGGCCCGAAGGGACGTCGTCTTGCCGATGATGAGCATTAACAATAAAACACTCAATCAATACACCGGTGTGCATTAGTGCACCATCATGCTCAACTTCTTCAACTCAGTTATTTTTTTTTTCACTGCCCGCCCATAAAATAGAATAAAATGTTCCCACTGACAGTATACATGTGACTTGTTCTGAAAGATAATTTGATTTAACTTTTTGTCCTTTAGGAGAAGCGAAAATGGCAAACTGAGATTGAAGAAAAAAGAAGCCAGCTCGATGACCTGGTGCTACAACTACAGCATCTGAAGGTTTGTGTGTGTGTGTGTGTGTGTGTGTGTGTGTGTGTGTGTGTGTGTGTGT